GCGAAAGAGAGAGAGGGAGAGAGAGAGAGATTAAGTGCGTGTGAATACCTGCATCTGTGCGTCTCTCAGAAATATTCAGCAGCAGCGTCTTCTAATAGCGAATCTTTAAGTTGAACTGCTTCAAGAACCTCACTACTGAGAAATGTCATGTAGCCTTTCAGCTGCGAAACTATTTAACTGATAAATTCGCAGGGCAGCCGCAGCTCTGACAACGAGTTTCTGGTCGCGTCTCCGCGTGTGTGCTACTGTGTGCATCTGTGAGAGAGAACGGGAGAATGTCTGTCACTAAACCTTTGGACAGAGAGGAGAGAGCCTCCTACCATGTAAGTGCGCCTCTTTCCAGAGTTGGCTCGGAAAGATAATTTTTGCCCTATACAGATCCTATTTAAAGTGGAACAGGCCTCAACCCATTTAAGAAACATGCTCCAGTTTGCAAGAGTTTATGGCCTTTTGCCAGTCGGAATAAAACTAGAAATGTTTCTGCCTGTCACCCCAGGCTGCCAGCAAGCCTTCCCTCCACCACATCTTCCCCTACTGTCACTCTCTCACGCGCTCCTAACACAACACATTGCTTTTGATTCCCACGGTTGTTCCTTACAATTATAACTGCCTCTTTATCTCATCTCTTTTGCAGGAAGTGTCAATAGGCCCTTAGTATATATTTAGATCGGCTATAAAACGAGTTCTTCTCTGTTTGTGGCTCCTACTTTTGACTTATGGCTCCCTTTCTCTCTCACTCCGCCTCTTTTCTCTTAACTCTCTGGTCCATTGAGCAGTAGATGATGTGGCACTGTACGTCTACCTATCAGTCTAAATTACGGCTAGGCTTGTCTCACCAGGTGTGTGTGTAAGTGTGTGTCTGCATATCTGAATAAGTCAGCACCCACGGTGGTTAAGTTAGCTGATGTGTGTGTGTGAGTGCATACATTTTCTAAACATAGTGAGCTGCCTCTGGAGGCATTGTACTATGGAGGCTGTCCCAAAAGGTAGGTAACTTAATTATGCTGTCACTTAAGATACCTCATTCGGGTCAAAATCAGAGGTGACACTGCATAAATCCTCTGCATAGAATGCAATCCCAGAATGCATTGCGACAGGCTTAGTGAAGAAATATATATATATTTATGTAAATGTATAATATATATATATATATACATATGTATAAATATACATATATTTAATATATATTACTGGTCAAAAATATGCAGTCTTCAATGTCACATGATCCTTTAGAAATCACTCTAATATTTTGATTTGGTGTTCCATTATTATCAATAAGATTTGGTGTTCAATTATTATCAATAAGTATTGGTCTCCTTTATTAATTATGGTTATTATTAATATCAATGTTGAAAACAGTTTTTGCTGCTCTTTATTTTTCTGATATATTTTAGCAGCACTTTTTGATGAATAGAAAGTTCAAAAGAACAGTATTTACTTAATCTTTAAATCACTATAAATTATTTACTCTCACTTTTAATCAATATAATGCATCTTTGCTGAATAAAAGTATTAATTTATTTAAATGAATGAATTACTTTAATTTTACTTCTTTAAAAAACACTTCTGAATGGTAATGTTTAATGGTTTCCACAAAAATATATATTTATATAGAAAATCATCATTTTAAATTGTAATAATATATCACAATATTAAAATTTGTACTGTATTTTTGTCAAATAAATGTAGCATGGTGTTTTAAAAAACAGCTTTCCAAAACAAAAAAAATACTCCAGACTTTTCACCAATTGTGTTCATCTGTCACGGCTCGCTACTGTGAGGAGCACGGAGCGAGGAACGAGGAGACGCAGAGTCGAATTCAAACTTAGACTTTAATAATATCCAGGGAAACAGGAAAACACACGTAGCAAGGGTAGACATCAACAATTCCAGACAAGGGAGAACAGAACGGGCAAGAACTCAAATAGGGCAGATAACCAGGGGCAGACAGGTGAGGAGGATAACTAATAATGAGAAACACCTGGAACTAATAGAACTAAATGGGGACAGGAACAGGAAGGACCAAATAAAGACTAACAGGAACATACACGTGACATTACTTTCCCCTCCCGGAAGGCGCGTCCCGCGCCCTAACAGTTACACTGGGGGTGTGGTTGCCCTGGAGTCTAGTGCAGGGCAGGAACTAAGTGGAGCCAAGGAGGGCCTCCAGGGCAGATCAGGGAGCCCGGGAGCCATGGCGAAGCAGGCAGTTCAGGTTGCCATGGCGGAGCTGGTAGCTCAGGGGGCCATGGCGGAGCAGGCAGTTCAGGTTTCCATGGCGGAGCTGGTAGCTCAGGGGGCCATGGCGGCGCAGGCAGTCCAGGAGGCCATGGCAGATCAGGCAGTCCAGGAGGCCATGGCGGATCCTCCGTGACCTTAGCCGGCTCGGCCACCACAGCCACCACGGCCACGGGCATATGCCCCCCCAGCCCCAAAAAAATTTTCTTGGGGATAATTAGGAATTCTGGGGGGCGCTCTGGAGGAGCGGGCACTTGAGGGCGCTCTGGAGGAGCTGACTCTGGAGAGCGCTCTGAAGGTGCAGGGCTGGCTAACTCGGGGGAATCAGGAGACGAAGGAGGGCTGTACAGGACCAGCGGAGACGAATGAGACTCAGGGGACGATGGAGAGCTGGACGGGACCAGCGGAGATGAAGGAGAACTTTCTGGAGCAGATTCTGGGTTGAGGATAGGAGCCGAAAACTCTGGAGGTAACGCCATGTCCAAGGACGCTGAGTCAGCTGCGGCCGGCAGGCCTGAGTCAGCTGCGGCCGGCGGGCTTGACGTAGGAGAGGCTGGCGGGCTTGACAGCGAGCTGGTTCTGGATCGGGGCCGGACACTCTCCAGACACCGGAGGATCCCTTCCCTCCAGCTTAGTCCAGTGGTGTCTGGGAGGTCCACGGGGCGATGGTAATTAGCCCCGATCCAGAACAGCGAGTTGAGCGTGGCATCGTCCAAAGCCGTCGCCGTGGCGAGCCCGCAGAATTCCCAAGTGTACTTCACGAAGGGGAGATCTCTGTGGGCTAAGGCGGCGAAACAAGCGGCGATTTCCATGATCGCGGGGGGAAAACAGTGAAAATAAAAAACTTTCAAGAAAACAAAAACGGGGAGAAGGAGCACCGTTTACTTTTTTTGTTGGGTCTGGAATTCTGTCACGGCTTGCTACTGTGAGGAGCATGGAGCGAGGAACGAGGAGACGCAGAGTCGAATTCAAACTTATAGACTTTAATAATATCCAGGGAAACAGGAAAACACGTAGCAAGGGTAGACATCAGCAATTCCAGACAAGGGAGAACAGAACGGGCTAGAACTCAAATAGGGCAGATAACGAGGGGCAGACAGGTGAGGAGGATAACTAATAATGAGAAACACCTGGAACTAATAGAACTAAATGGGGACAGGAACAGGAAGGACCAAATAAGGACAAACAGGAACTAAATGGGAACATACACGTGACATCATCTGTGTCTGTTTGTGTATATTATTATTATTATTATTATTATTGATTTTGTATAGTATATAATTAAAGTAATTGAATGATAATATATATAATTGGTTTAAAACTTATGATTATATAAAATGACACCCTGTGTTTTGTGTTATTTATTTATCCATTCATGATTGATTGATTGATTGATTGATTGTGTATGATTTGTATTTGTATAAGAAAAATGTAGGCAGTGAGACAACTCAGTAGGTTTTAATAGGAAACAGCTAATGTGTACGATTGTGTGTGCGTCTGAGCATAAATGCATGTTTACGTTCAGTTAGACATTGCCTGCAGTTAGTGAGTCAGGACGATAGGTGTATGAGCACTGCTAAGGTTAAGTGGCCCCTCGGGTCTTGTGCGGCGGTTAGCTTATGCAGCCCCTCTGTTACTCACCATAGTATGAATACCCATATGACTTCTCATATCTGGTATCTGCTCACAATTTGCACTCTAACTCTGGATGTTCTAGTGCAGAAAGCCCAGTTTTATACACAAGGCTTTTGATGTAATGTATGAGGAGGTTGATTCAGTTAGAGCCTTCTTGAGTAGAATACAATACTTTTTATCAGCGCATCACAAGGGCCGGAATTGGTGTCTCCAGTGCTGCAATTGAACGCAGTCATGAACTTATTACAAGGACAATCCCCCCGGAGCAACCTGAGGTTAACAATGGTGATGGCTCATAATTAACAACAATTGTGTTAACAATAGTGATGACTCCCTCGTCACAGAAACCAGACCAGCAGCTGGCTATTTAAAGCTGATCTTTAAGTCAGCATGAAATTAAAATAGACTAGATTAATTTTCATAATTCACATTTGTGGTTTTATTGTTTAATATTCATAAATGAATGTCATTGCAAAGATAAAAAAATGGAATTAACAATATGTTTAAACAAAATGTACATTCACGTTCAAAAGGTTTTAAAATATGCTCACCAAGGCTGCATTTATATATTCAAGAAGACAGTAAAAACAGTAATATTGTAAAATATTAGTCCCATTTAAAAGCACTGTTTTTCTATTTGAATCGAATGTATTCCTATGATGACAAAGATTAATTAGAATTTGAAATAGATTTGTTTTGTAACAAAAGTCTGTACTGTCACTTTTGAAAAAGTAGCCCTATTTAGTTACTGTTATAGTTAATTCATTTTGCCTTTCTTTCTTTTTTATTTATTGGCTTTGTTGCCTTAATTTGACAGGATAGTGGAAAAGTGGCAGGAACATACAGGGTCAAATATCCAACAATTCAGTCTCTATAAACATTATGGAAGTAAAATAGGTTGCAAATGCAGTTTCATTTTGACATAAACCACTGCAGCTCTTGGATTTTTGATGAACTTGGAATTTAGATATTTGTTTGTTAAACCTACACAACAAAAATATGACTTCATTATGAATACAATCACTTTTAAGTCTTTCTCAAAGTTTCTCCATGATTGGCCCAGAACTGTTAAAACCTGTAAACAACAAACAAGCTCAGGTGTCTCATTAAAACAAGGGAAGTTGTCTTCACTCACAGTATTGATTGTGTTTTGTTTAAAAGTGAGTCTAACGACCACTTTGATTTATAAATGATAATGATGAAGGGGTACTGTGAGGGTACATTAGACAAAAAAAAAAAAGCTTGAAAAACACTGCCCTATCCTAACAATGGCCATGGCAAATGTACTGCAATCACGACACTGACCTTCTAGCTATTTCTGTGGTTTGTAGTTTTCCCTCACTTTGTGAGTTTCCAGTTGTTTTTCTTCACTGCCCACAAGTCTCCCACCACTAGAGTGTGTTGCAGAATTTTAAAAGCTGATGGCTTTGACACAGTGGCAAGAAAAGAAAATAAAGGGATAAAGAACTAGAGGAGGATTCTCTGATTCTCAGCCCATCTCTCTCTCTCTCTGTCGCTCTGTCTCTGTCTAGCGTTTTGGTCCTGTCAGCTAGCATGTTAATAATGCCATTAAGCCACACATTTGCAGTCCGCACGCTCTCATGGGTCGACAGATCAAAGATGCAGTGTCTCAGCCACTAACAACAGACAATCTCACACATATCTACATGCTCTCACACACACACACAGCCGCCTCACCAACCCATAAAGAATGCTAAGCACAGCAGCTGAGGAAACAGATTTTCCTGTTGTGTGTCTTTATTTATTTGTTTGCTTGACAGTTAGTTTTGCCGTGCACAACAAAAACCTGTCGTCTCGGACGATATTAAATGAGAGCATTTGGCGGCAGGTGTTGTATTACTGCAGAAATGCATATAGAATCTCGATGTTCCCGTGTATAGTGTATGGAGCAATGCAACCCTCTTATTTGGGATGTAATTCCGGGGAGGGATTTTAGGATAATAGTTTTATTTAGTGCGTGTGCATGTAATTCTGTAGTGAATAAATTCAAAGAAGATGAATTTGGAGTTAATCCAGCTTTAAACCTTTCCTCTATGCCTCTCTTTTTCTCTCTCGATCTCTTGCTTTTTTGTTTCTCGTTTCCCCCTCCCTTATCCCATCTCCTGTGGGAATGTTCTATCACTAAAAAAACTATTTTATTTTTAAGGGGTTGTTTATCTGAATTAAAGAAAGCTTTATCTCGCCTCACACATTTTTTTTTGAGATCTAACCAAAATAGTTTTTTTTTTGTTTTGTTTTTTTTTGAAGCTAAACTCCAACTCACACTCTGAAATCCTCTCTGAATAATAACTCATGGATTTTAGATAGGAACAACGCAATGCCTTCCCACCGGAACCCGTATCTAACATATGAAATATGAATGCAATTTCCATTCGGTGCGTCCACTGAGCACACAGAGATCTTTAAAGCCTCTGAGTTTCTTAAATCTGATTTAATATCAGTGCTGTGCTTTCCGCAGAATCATCTGCAGAGGTGAAGTTATGTGTGAATTATGAATTATTAATTAATGTGCTTTTATTGTTGTCTCATCCGCAGCTCAGAGCCCATGCAGTGGATATTAACGGAAACCAAATGGAGCCTCCTATTGATCTGTACATTTATGTCATTGACATGAATGACAACAGACCTGAGTTTAAGAACCAGGTCTACAACGGATCAGTTGCTGAAATGTCCAAACCAGGTACGTATCCACAATAAAAGTCATGTTGATAATTATGCTGTGATGATGTGTTTCACATTTCTGATGATGAAAATGACCGAAATCATCATTACTTATGACAGCACTAATATATTAACAATCAACATTAAGATCACTCCTAACTTTGTGCGGAGGTATATTATACCATATGTATTATTATTTGTTAATAATGTTTGTATTACTATTTGTTAATCATATTTAATTATGATGTGCAATGATATATTTATATATATTTTTTAATTATTTGTTTATTAATTGATATGTGTAGTAGTAGTAATAATAATAATAATTATTATTATTATTATTATTATTGAGATTATTATTTTAATAATTTAGTAAGATATAAATTCTAATAATGCCATTATTATGATGATGCTGATGATATATATATATATACACACACACACATTTATTTATTAATTACTTTATGATTTATGTATTAATAATATTAATTATTTAATTATTATTTATATAATATATACATTTAATATACTGTGTGTTTCTACATACTTCTTAATGTCGCACAAAGGTGGCCTAAATGCATTTACACAGAATCACAATCAGAAAAAATGATATCTCGCATGCTCAGAATTTCGATTATGGATTTGCGTGCACCGCGGACAATAAACAAGATGTGCGCTGATTATTATTATTTGTTTGTGGTATGCATCAAATTCTCATCACTATTATTGTACTAATTCAAGTCAAACAAGGGAATCTTTTTTTCATCAATCATCAAGGTTTTCCCTTGATGATTTATTGAATACCCCAAGTGAATCAGCCCTTACTATGAACGCTTCTTTGTGCTCTCTGACCCGGCATTCCCATTGTGTCTAACAAACACAGGTTCAGTTTCTTTCTTTATTCTCCTCCTCTTCGGGTCAGTGTCGACTCACTGAGCAACCAAAGCATAGACTGTGAGTCAGATTGTGTTCAACTTCTGTAATGTTATGGCCCAGAAAGCTTACCTCTAAGGACAAAACTTTAGTCTTTATTTTGTTGAGCTCTCCACACAGAAAACTTGATTCTCATGGGAACAAAGAGAAAAAAAGAACTGCACAATATTTTCTGTTTCCCTTCAGTAGAGCATGGGTCTGCTCCACGCCAAACAAGCACTGTAAATCATCCATGGAAAACTGACTCATTACAGGCTGTTCCATTTTCCCTCTGCTGTCCATGCTGACATCCTCCATGTTTCACGTGAATTAAAAACATGAAGTTCACGCAAATTCAAGCTAAACTCATCTCTAGGCTCTCATGAGACCCCAGTTAATCTCATTGCCTTGAAAATGGCAATGCCAATGTTGACCGTTGATATTCTGCGATCACAAGGATTAAATCACAGCAGATGTTTTGTATATTTTAAACATGAACGTTGAAAGAACATGTTTATCAGTTTAACTCACCAAGGGAAGCTTGGACCAAACAGATGCTCATATCAGAGTGTCTCTGAAGTATTACAGCGGATTTTCCATCAGCTCCTGCACTACAGGCCACGTTCAAAGAGGAGCATGCAGGGAAGTGTCCTTATCACCAGCCGCATATGTATGTGAACTTATCAGATCAATTCAACAGAGGGATCCATCTTTAAATGATACATTACTGATTTCATTGCCAACAAAATACGTATTTGGAGGTGTAGACACATAGAGTAATTAAATTGTGTCCATTGCTGCCTAAACACAAGTAATCACCCAATTACTGCGCATTTAGAAGACTGATCCAATTTAAGTTTAATCCAATTCAGCTGTGAATCAGACCTGGATCAAATTAAACTGTTTTGTGTGAATCCAGTAATTTTTCCCCCTCATATATATATATATATATATAAAACATTAATACATAATACATTATAATACATTATATATAGTATTATATATAATACATTTACAAAAAAAAATATGTATGTGACAAATGTGCCCTACATTTTGTCTCCATTTAATAATTTGCTCAGAAATACATCACATTATGATAGTAACATTTGTTGCGACAGAATACAGACACTCTGTATGGAATTTGTGAGATAATATTACAACACCAGTACATAACATTAATGACATTATGTAATCAGTATTTAGTATTCTTTGAGGAGAAACAGAATGTTAACAATTCAGACTAACTAAAATAAATAAAGTAGTCTTTATAAATAGTTTTTTGTGAATTATCCTGTTTTAGTAACAACCTATGAAGCAGTTAAGGCAGCGTCACAGTTCTCACATTCTCAAAGTGTCTCAAAGTGTTCTTGTACTTTTCACAGTAATTATTCCTAATTTTCACTTTTTTTCCTCAATACCCTGTAGAAAATTTGTGTGCCAAAAAGTCAGCTGCACCACCCAATGACAGTGTTTAGAAAACTCATATTTCCAAGCTCACGGAACTGCTGTAGCCAATTATCTTTTGAAATTCTCTCTCTCTCTCTCTCTCTCTCTCTCTCTCTCTCTCTCTTTTCCTGACATCTTCAAACTATTCTCTGTTGTTTTGCATTTTACTGGCCTCAAAAATCAACACTGATCCTGCCTCATATTTTAGTCAGATGTATCCTTGTTTACTTGGCTTTCTGTTCTTTTGCCTAAATAACCAATGACAAGGGGATATGTTCACTGTCTGTTGCAGAGAAAAACAAGCCACAGCAAAAGAGCGGCATGGCTAGAAAATTCTGTTTTCACACTTCCAGCTCACACGGCCGATAAGGAAATTTGCTAACAGTGGACGATAGGATGCTACTCAATGCTCAGCCTCAGACAGCTGGCCATGGGGGTTAATTCGGCCCTGACGTCCATGCACAGGAGAGGAGAAGAGAGAGAAAAGAGAGCGCTGAGAGGAGAGAGGAATGTTTCAATCAGTTTAATGGACTTAAAGTAGACGTCTGCCTCTGGCTCTTTTTTGCAGGAAAAGTCATTTGCCTCTTCATAGTCCTCAAAGGACTCCATATGGCTACAGCCCTGACAAAACAGATTTGCTTTGAAAGCCTCACCATGAGGGTGGTGTGAGACAGTGCTGAGTGTAATCTGTGGTGGAAAACGGAGTGATAACAGCTTGGAGGACTGGTTTAGTCTGGCTAGCAGCTTGTCTCGGACGGACAGTCAAGTATAGAGAGCTTTTATGTCATATTTTCAGTGTAAGCACGTTGTGATCTAGCCATACCACAAGTGATTGAAAATTGGGACAAAGTGGCGGCGAGATGGGTTTTGCATGTTCGTGTCCGAAAAGAATACTTCGCATTGGACAGCCTTGAATTGGTGGGTGATTCGAAAGGATACGTCGCTTTCAACTGAGCCGGCCCTGCAAGGGTCGGTTTCCATTCTCAGACTGGTTATGTTAAACTTGTTAAAACTAATGACTCCCCAATTTCTTATATACCTGTGAAAGAGAGAGCCTCCCGACCAGCACGCGCCTAATGAAAGGAGGAATTTTGAGCTTCAGTGGTTTAAGTCGAAAAGCAATTACAGCATTGAATTAGTTTTCAAATTAAAACGCAATTGAAAAGGCCCAGGGGTTAACTGTTTCCTGCACGGTCATCTCTCTCACTTTTACAAATAAAGAGCATTTAATCCCGTTAAAGAATGGCACTCATTGAAAATTGAAGGCGACAGAGTTGACATGCAACTCTTTTGTCTTCTTCATCCCTCCACATGTGCTTGCTCGCTCTCTGGTTGTTCAAAAATTGATGTAGCCCTATCAGAAGAGGGCTTAATTGTTTTTCTTCTCCCTTCGCTCATTTCTTCCTTTTCCTCTTTCTCATGGGGCATAGTGACAGATTCTGCTCTGAAACTCAATGAACTTTGAAATAGAACTCTCAGCCACAATTATCCCCTCATAGGTGTGTTGTCACAAAATGATGGCACTATCTCCTCACAATTACAGCGGGGCTGGAGAAACCCGCAAATGCGTGAGGTCTCGTGTGTGGCTAAACGTGCGGTCACCCCCCTCGGACCAGCTTTCTGGGTCACCATGGCCATTAATATTAAATGACAGAAATGACTGGAACACAGGAGCGACAGAAGGGCATTAACACAGACTGACAGGGTGACATTTTGCCCACGTCGCAAGGAGGTTTATCCTCCGTTTCTCTATTTGGAGGCCCCTAATTGCTCACTCACATTTAAGATGGTGTGAGACAAGCTCTCAGAAATCGATAAACATGTTTTGGGGACTAAAGGCCATATGGACCCCCACCCGCATCATACGGCACCTGACGCCTCGCTCTCATACAAACACATTTCACACTCATGCACACCCAGCCTCAAAACCCAGCATATTTATTATATATATAATAAATAATAATATATATAATAAATAGAAATATTTTTGAATATTTAATGATATTTAAATAAATATTTAATTGAACTCATAATACATTTAATATTTAATTACATATTGAATATATATTCAATATTTAAATAAATGTTAAATATAAATTGTAACAATTATGTTACAATTACATTTTTTATCTAAAAAAATCCTTCACATAATAACCAAAAAACACATTTAAAAAAAAAAAGACAAACTTTAACAAACATTTCTATAAGTAATTTCATTTTGAGTTTAACACTGCCCACACAGCTATAGTAGGACTGAGGGATAATGAAAGTGACAGAGGCAAGAGAGGCAGACAGACCCTCATTACCGAACAGATTCTGTATGGATAGCAGAATCAGAAATGAAGAAGATGAGACAGCTTGGGTGAGAAAGACCCCGGGATCAGATGTGACGTTTGGACATTGCTCTGACACAGGGAGCAGCACAAAAAGATAGAATCACTGATCAAATAGCCACCGTTTGTGCATGTTTGTTCTTAGCGACTCGGACAAACAAGCGCAGCTGCTTTGTGACAGAAACGGAGTGATTATGCATGCATTAGTGTTTTGATTCACGCTTGTTTATCCCTCTTCCTCTCCAGGCACTTCTGTAATGCAGGTAACGGCCTTTGACGCAGATGACAGCATCACGGCAAATGGGCTAGTGCACTATCGCATCCTGAGCCAGACGCCGCACATCCCCATTCCTAACATGTTTACTATTAACGGAGCCACGGGAGAGATCAGCACCATCGCTTCAGGCATCGACAGAGAGGTCAGTCAGGTCTCGTACATGTAAAAGCAAGCATGCTTCCAAGAAGCTGCTTCCGTTTGATTTTTCTTTCAAAGAACTGTTGATCAGTGTGAAATGCGTTTGGAGTTCTCATGGGTTTGAGTATACAAGTGTGTGTGCTTACACAAACCTTGCCATTCCATGAAAAGTGTTTGTCTCGGCTTCACATTCTGTCTCCCTGCATTAGAAAATCATTAGTTCTCAGCTATGGTGTGTCTGAGCATACTTGGTGTGGATGGTCCATAGTTTCCTGTGAACAACATTGTGAAGAGACATTCTTGCACTGTAACAAACAGCGCTTTAAGAATCAACTTAATGATCAGCCTGTCCTTTGAGCTGTCTGTGACCTTTTCAAGTTGAAGAGCAGTTATCTGCCCTCCCAGAACACCCCATCAGAGCAGGACAACAGTCAACGCTTCAATGGCTAAGATGCTGAAAATGCTGCAAAAATGCTTTGCTGGATTTCAGAATGCATAGTATCTGTCCAATATAGTATTGTGGGGTTTTTTTTTGGTTAATATCACACACAAACCCATGCTCTATGAAAAAGTAGGTGTTTTTACTGGGAGAGAAGAATTGCAGAGCAGGAAGTGGCACATGAGTGGTTCACTCAAAAATGAAAATGCTGTCATCATTTACTCACTCTCATGTCATTCCAAATCTGTATGGCTTTTTTCTGTAGGACACAAAATAAGATATTTTGAATGTCTACAGTAATGTACGTGGGGTCTAATGCAGTGGTTCTCAACCAGGGGGCCTGACTTAAAAGTATTTAAAATAATTAATTATTATTAATGTATTTAAATAATTTACATTTAATCTAAATAAAATGCTGAAAATAAGCACAAAAAAATCAAGATATTAATGGAAATGGTATTTCTTTTTATGTTCCCTCAGTAACTATTGTTTTTAGTGAATAACACAGTTCTGAATAACTTCTGAATCACAAAAAGAATTGTACTTAATTTATTTTATATATTAGATTAATTAACCACATTAGTTAATTAAGCATATCAGTAAAAATGTTTGAAAACAAGCAGCTTTGTCACATTACGGTGGAAATGTTGGAAATATCTTGGCATATCTTTGATTATTGTGTAGGAAAACAGGATTGAGAAAAGGTTGAGAAGCACTGGTCTAATGTTATGTTTTGGACCCCACTGACTTTCATTGTTTAAATAAAAAGAGTTCCTCAAACAGGTTTGGAAGACAATGCTACAACATGAACACACACATGCACACAAAGACAGAAACTTTTACGATCCTCAAAATTTATCTCGGCACCCTGATTTCATTTCATACCGAAATGAAGTATGTGTTTGATTCCCAGGATAGTGTTTATTTCTCATGCTCGGTAAAGGTATGCAAATTGGGTTTCAGCCTCATTTCTGGGATTTTCTAGCTTGTCCTCTGTTGCACAACAGAGATATGTACATGCTCCCAAGTCTTGTTATACTTATTATTTCCAGCCCCACCTAGAATTAATTCAGCTAATCATTGGGGTCTTCTTAGTGTCTACTTCAGAATGCAGTTGACTTCATTTTCAATACATGCATGCACTCACATACCCACACAAATGAACTCTATGGGTCATGGGAACAGCTTTCCCATATCTCATCTGAGTCTCAGAGCCTGACCCTTCCCACCAGACGTGTTCCCCTGTTTGACCTCTTCATTAATCCCCCTCTCTATCGCTCTAGCGATCCCTCTTTCTTACGCACACACATACACACACACACACACACACACAAACACAAGGACACACACAGTTGTGTGCTCCTCCTTAACCTCCCTCTGCTCCACTAATGAGCAGGGTCATTCAGAGGTCCATTCAGTTTATCCCAGAATGCTTAAGCGGACCTGCAGGGAAGTCTTTCAACTTCCCCTTTATCTCTCCATCCTACGTGATCCCTTGCTTTCTTGCCACAGATTCTAGTCCCATTCTCATTAGCATCATATTAAAATATTGAAACATTTCTAGTTGTAGTAACTGGAGACCACTCAATGTGTTCAGAAGTATTAATTGTATGACAAATAGTGCTACTGCTCAAGTATAATTGATGATGATGATGATGATTATTATTATCTTCATCATCAGTTACACTTTAGTGCCAGAACTATTAGTTACTGTAGGAAGTTCATATATTTATTATTATAATTATTATTATTATTGTAATCATCATAAGTGTAGCTATTATAAGTTGTACTTTAGTGCCGGAACTATTTGTTATATAAATAATACTTTTATTTTACAACAATAATAATAATAATTTCAAACCATTAAAACAGTTGTTGTTCTAACAAATTATTGTTAGTAAATTACGTATTAAAGGTTAATGGCTTGTATCAAATCACTTTTGGTGGCCTTTTTATTAAAATATGCTACTTTGCAGTCATTGCAGTGATTTTTCAGTTGCTTAGGGAGGTTTTGGCACTACGGTTCTATTACAGTCTTCATCATTATTCCTTTGGCATCTTGTTTCACATGGCACGTAAAGTTCTCTACCCTTCATGCCACGTTAGATGACGTTTGCTGTCATCTCAAGATTTTCTATTTTCTCTCTGACAAGTTATCATAAGTCTGTACCTGGAGCAGTGACTCCTGCTAATCCAATGACTAAGACAGACTGGCTGAGATGTCTACAGGAGCATGAATGTGGGACGTGGTACCTACTGCAGGCAGGTAATCTGTCCTCTTCTCAGGACCAGAGAGCGACCCTCATTAATCTAACGCAGTGATTGCGCTCTCTTCCACCTGTGCACTCCAATTAGAACTGGGACACACTTATGTGTTTACAAAGCCACATCGCAAATGGAACATTTGGAAGATTTTCAACATCACATTCTCTGTCAGGCAAGATGTTGTTGGACGAGACTGAAAGGAATAATTCACCCAAAAATGAAAATTCTGTCATTATTTACACACCCTCATGTCGTTCCAAACCCGTATGACTTTCTGTCTTCCATGACACACAAAAGGAGATGATGGACAGAGTGTCCAAGCTTCTGTTTTCCATACAGTGATCGTGGATGGTGATTTATACTAACAAGCTCCAAAAAAAAAAAAAAAGCAGAAGTATCTCCTTTCATTTTTCTTTAAAAGGAGATAGAAAATAATACATGCTTGGAACAACATAGGTTTGGGTAAGTGACAGTAGAGAGGGAGTAAATGATGACGACAGTTAGTATTCAGTAAAATGACAGTAAAGACATTTAATGCTACAAAAAATAAGCAGCACAACTGTTTGATACACAACATTGATAATAATTAGAAATATTTCTTGAGAACCACTCAGCATATTAGAGTGATTTTTGAAGGATCAAGTGAGACTCAAGACTGAAAATTCAGCTTTGCCATCACAGGAATAAAATACTTTTTTTTTTTTTTTATTAAATCAAAATAGAAAAGAGTTATTAAATTGAAACAGTATTCCAGAATATTTTACTGTAGTTTTGATAAAAGCAGCCTTGGTGATCATAAGAGACTTCTTTCAGAAACAGAATTAAACTTTTGAATGGTAATGTAAAAAATGTCCCTCATGTTTGTTTTTTTTTGGGCCATTTTTGAAGAGGTGATGTGGTGGTTTTTACAGGCATTTCATGAGAAACTCAAGCTCCACATTGGTGACATGGTAGGGCAAAAACGTTTTCAAAGAATATGGAAAACAGTACTTGAAAATTTAGTTAATTGGACTGAGGCATTGCTGTTTATCCACTTAGTGTTTAGATTGGTGGGCTTGTATGAATATACTCCTCCTGAACTTTCAGTGTTTTACCCAACGGGGGCCACATGGGAAATGGGCAGCTGTCTGCACATACATATACCAATCCTAGCATTTGCCTCTCTGCATTCCCATCTGTCTCTTTCACATACACATTCTCTCATCAGGAGCATAATCCTCCTTCATCAGTACCTGTCATCTAATTGGAATATTTATGCAGTAATTAGTGGGTTGAAGAAACCTGGTGCAGTCACTTGCAATGATGGGAGTTCACATTCACTTGATGTCACACACATCTGATCAGGTCTGAATACCAATTACCCTCTCACACCGAGACCCCATCACCTCCACACACCTCTTAACCTGCTCGCCATCACCTGTCTGATTACAGCAGCTAACAGCAGCAGCCCTTCTCCACGTCTTTTGCACTGCATGCCTTTTACTGCAACTGTCATCTTGTCTTATGCCCCTCGTGCCAAATATGTCCATATTATGCACTTTACAACCAGCCTTCCCCATTTCTGTCATTTTATTTCTTCACTTTTCCTTTTAATAGCACCACATGAATCTATAATATCATACAGGAATTAAATGGAATAGGATGTGTGTGTTTTTACGGGTTTAGGAAAGACATATTTCTGCAGATAAAAATTAAAATGAATCATTTATTCACCTTATAATGTTCCAAACCATTATGACTTAGTGTTTTTCTGTGAACCACAAAAGGAGACGTTTGGAAGATTGTTCATGTTCCTCATTCTATTACAATGAAAGTGGGCGGGGTCTACAGACTGTCAAGTTTCGAAATGACAAAAAGCATTCACTAAAATAAACATTGATAGTTTAACATTTGAAAATTAAGAAATTAAGACAACCACAGATATTAGTATTGTAATGTTACTGTTGTACTGTAAAATAAAATAATTACAATATTGTTTTTCTATCCACCTTTTTCCTGAGTCACCGATGAGCACCGCCATGATGGATTCTAACTTCCGTTTGGATGCTCTCGTCTTCCGGACTCCATAGAAATCCATGTTAAAGCGGGATAAAAAAGAACGACTGAATTAATTCATCTGAAACTTTTTCAATATAACTAAATATAAAAATGTGCACAGGGTTAAGCTGTGCTGTTATTAGCTTCAACAGTAACAGCAATAAACTTATTAAGGAATTCCTGTAAAGTACTTGTTTTGCGTACCAGCAAATCTGTCCGTGTCCGGTGCTGTATGCCTTACATAAACGATGACAAAAGAAAAT